GACCAGAGGAGGAGGGAGCAGCAGGAGAAAAAGTAGTGGACAACCTGCAACAGCTCATCAGAGAGGTAACGGTCTGTCAGCAGTTTTACTTTGAAGTACATTTATTGGTACTTCACTGTCATGATGTAAATGTAGAGGAGAAATATTCCCAAATACATCTAATAAGAAAACTTCCATTTGTTCATCTTTCACATTGTTGTTACTTTTTTTCATTTGTGGCGAAAAATTGTAATATTATAATAAATTTCGTCATAGTTTTTGTTTCCTGTTGTTTAGATCTGTGTCTTGTTTTTTTTGTTGATAAAACTAACACTGCATTTTACATTGTTGGTCGTACACAAGCACAGTGTTAGGATGACGCAGCAAAATGCTTTCTTATTACTGTTGGTGTTGGTTGTTTCTTGGTTTATTTTTAAAGAACTCAAACCCACGTTGTCACACGGGTGTTAAATTGTTTTCTGCCTTTAGACCAGAAAAAAGTGATAAGACGTTGCTTTATCTAAAACACAAACTTGAGCATTTTGCACAATGCAGCTGTACGCTTATTTATAGCTAGATGAGAGGATTGCTCTCATTTGATAACTCTCATGTCTGTTGTTTTCAAGATTCGAGAGAGCGTGGCACAGGAGGTCCGACGGGAAATCTACAGTGAGCTGCTGGCTACAGTTTCGCCACGGCGATCGCCCGTGCCCGCCAGGCAACACCCTCTGTAGTCATGGCACCAGCAAAGCACCACCCCTTTCACCTCCAGCCTTAGAAACCACAGCCTGAGCAGCAACACTGTCCGTCTGCAACACTGTATAGCTGTGTAACACTGTATGTCTGCGACACTGATGATGAAACGAGCACATCACCTACCTGGGATATACCCCGCCCACTCCACCTGTGGCTGTTAACGAGCATGCTCGTTAGTGAGAGGTGGAGAGTGGGGCAGATGGAATGAGGACGTTTACGTGTCCGGTTGGTTCTAGCGTGCCAGTTGTGATGCAACCCGGGAGCGCCACTCTGGACCAGCCCGACCCTGTGAACCATCAACGATGATGTGTTGTCTTTTCCTCACATCCTGTTTCCTTTTTCTAGACTGTTTTGATCAAAGCCAGACCTAAAACTACTACCACTGCCACTAATACTGCTAGTACTACATCTGGTACTGCTAACAGTACTCTACCAGTACTATCACTACTAGTCCCAGTCCTATAGATGCTCCCATTGAGTTCTTTTACCCCTGATCCCTGTCTGAGATCAGATCAGGACATATTGTTTTGCCTGAATTGAGCTTTTAACATGTTACGTTGCAACACACATGGGGCCAGCCTCCTTAAATGTAGTGTAAATGCCTTAATAATATTTTAATTGATGCTCTCGTGCTTCTCATTAAACGGTTACATTCCTTAATCTTCAATAAGAGTAGAGTCTAATGAGGGTCAAACTGAGCTTTTAACCCCGTTGAGTTACTCCTTCCATGCACATTTCAACTTTCAAAAAGGGCTTTAAGCGATACAATTAAGGGATTATTATCCTCCATCTGTCAACATTCCATCATCATCATCATCATCATCATCATCAGCATTGTAATCATTGTGCTTCTGTTTCTCTCACCGCCCTTAAATTTCTGTATTTTCACTGATGTGACGTTGCCCCCTGCTGGTCAGTCCACCAGACAATGGCATCACGGATGAAAGTCAGACTCCATGTAAACTTATTTAGGTCACAGTTACTGACAAACATTTTAAAATGAGGTTTTAAAGCTGAAAGCTTCGCCACACCAGAGGTTAATTCCCGCAGTTGTTTTAGCTGATGAACAGAGGTCACCAAAAGTAAATTTAGTACTTAAAGAATCAGAGCTGGAACTGCCACAGCAAAGATATCATATCAGAAACCCTGGGTGAGATGTACTGCAAGCAGGTCACTGCACCCAGCAGTTGTTGGTCAACAAATTGCTCCAACACTGACTGCTGCTGAAACCAAAATTTCTACATTTACATGTGTACAACTGTGTGTGTGAGTGATTTGAAGGTGTTAGAAGGTGGATTGTTTTCTGTTTTGATTGAGCCTGGCTAGCAGTTTCCCCCTGATTTCAGTCTTTGTGCTAAGCTAGGCTAAACACGTCCTTCCCTTTGACACCCACAGTCTTTGCTTTGTGCGTGTGCTGGTTGTTAGAGAACAGGTGATGAGGTCAGTGTGTGATGTCGTGAGGTACTGTGAAGGTCAGGCAGGTTATTCTGCAGAAGTAGCAGGTTTCGGTAAGTTCTCATGGTGATGGCGGTGATGATGATGATCATGATGATCATGATGGTCATGATGATGATGATGATGATGCTATTGATGACGATGATGTGAGGTCCGGTCAGTGGGAGGAGCTTAGTGAGCAGAACGTGTCTCAGTGAGCGGGCAGTGGAGCCCAAACAGTAGCTGTGTTAGCATGTTGGCCGCATTAGCCTGTTAGCTTGTCTGATGTGCAATAATAGGAACATGTATATTGATTACTGAGATTATTGTGAACAAATTATCGGTAAATCACTGCAAACATTTCAGAAGAGACCAGTCCTCTTGCACCACTAAAACAAAAACTTTCTACCTGCACATCCTACACAAATTAATCTGCAGCTGGTTTTATTGAGAGAATTTCTGATCACACGGAATCCACTGATTGATCACTGAATGATTAACTATTAATTATCTGGAATATCTGTATTCTTTAGCATGTGTGTAGTGTCTGTGTGGTTGCTCACAGGTTTCCGAATATACAGTCAGTTAGTGAAAAGGTGAAACAAGCACGCTGCGTCCACCGTAGCTGAATGTGATTGGCTGGGATATCAGTCAGTCAAGACAATACCTCTTTTTGATCTTCATGGAACAATGATTCTGAAAATGTCCACACAGACTCAGATTAGAATTAAAATTACCCACAGAGAGCTGAACTTTTGGGAGAAAAATGTATTAATAATGTGTTTTTCAGATGTTTCATTCTTGATCTTCGGTTGTTTGGTGAATCTAAGCTCAAAGGTTCACTTATTAGTGATTCTGAGCTTTCAAGCCACACCTCACAGTGTTTGTTCAGCTGGCTGAGGTGCCATCACGTGAACTAAATGTGAACTTTTAATCACGTGAATGCTCTTAATCATTATTAACTGGACCTTTGATGGATTTTCTTCACCATTTGTTGACTTTTTACCATGTTCACTGATCACAAACTCTGCTCTGCTGGACCAACACTGTGATCTCCGAGGCTCTACATGCTTTTTATTAGTTGTTTTTTTTATTGACCAAGAATCCTTCACACACTTCTAAATACACTTCACTGTTTGACTGTTGGTGTCTGTTAATTTCTGTTGATGTCTATTAATGATGATGTGTATTTTGTATTGATGTCTTGTCGGTGGGATGCAGGGGTGAGGGATCACTCTATAGAGATGAGAATAATTAAAATGTATTTATTTTCAGTACTGGTTGAGTGCTGGCTCCTTTCTTTGTGTGTGTGGGGGTGGGTGTGTTATTTCTAGTCTTAAACCTATTAGGGTTGGATTTCAAGAATTGGGTCAAAGTTGGAACATTACCAAATTTCCAAGAACCTTGGATTCTTTAAAACACATGCATTTCAATTCTGCTTATAAGATCTTAAATTTTTGCATATTCCAGTCTCTCTCCAGATTAAACTGCACTGAGCATTTTATAGTCCATGAAAGTTGCACTTATCTGCCAGGACCTGCTACACAGACCTACAAGCATGCAACTAGAGAGTACTTCTGTTGACATTCCTGGACCATGGTGGGTCGAAGCAAATGCTCAAAAGTTTGGCTTTGCTTCACTAAAATTAAATAACAGCACAATGCAACACCTGCAGTAAGGACATTTTGTGCAACGGAAGAAGCAGCTCCAATATGACTGAATTCCCAGAAACAGCTAATGCTAACACTAGCAACGTCTCACACTCAGGTACAAAACACAGACGAGCTGACATTCACCTGTTTATGTTGAAAGTAAACGAATGACATCCACAAATTATTCTAATATATAAGATGACCCAGAGACACCCATCTAGTACAGAAACTCCTTTCACTTCAGCCATGAAGGGGAAAATGTCACTGAGCGGTGGCAATATTTGAGGTGAAGGGGTGGAATTCAAACCGAGATTCATTAAGTGGAATAGTAATCGACAGAATTTAAACGATACTCAACCCTACTTAAACCTACACACTATACGCTACCTGCACACGTTATATTGTACCAATGGAAAGCAATTTCTACTTGAGTGTATTATAAGTCTACTCCTAAATGTTTTAGGAATATTGCACTTACTACTCCACTACGTTTATCTGGCAGTCATAGGTTCTAGCTACTAGCTTTGTAGGTTTTACAAACAAAAACAATAATGAGCTTATGATGTAAAGCATTGTTATAGAATGAACTACACTTTGTCTGACATTTGGTTATCGACACAATCGACAGAAATTGTTACAGTATTTCAAATGTTTAAACTGCAAAGTGTAAGCAACAAGCATGAATACAGTTTCTTCAGAAATGTTTGCCTCTTCTATTTTGGTTATAATGAAACAGTTTATACTTTTTTCCTCCATCATAACTGTTCACTTTCCTATCCTCACAAACAAGGTTGTCACCACCAGTGTTGGGAAGTTTACTTTGGAAATTTAACAATTTACCCTATTTAAGATGTAATATTAGTGTAACTATTTCAATAACTTTATCAAAGTAATGTAACTTATTACATTTAATTACTTTTTTGATTACTTTTCTAAATTTCTAATGAATATTATTAACTGTTGACCATTTTCAAGAGACAGCTTAGGAAATATAACTTTTTATTATTTTTTTATTTGCACATATAAATACTGTATATATATATTTTTAGATATATTTATATTTATATAGGTTGACGTTTATGTGTATTGTTGCGCACCTAGTTACCAAAACAAATTCCTTCCTTACTGCTCACCACCAGGGTGCGCTCCCTTCAGCCCGTCAAGACTTTTATTATGAAATCCGGAAGCTGTCCCTGACCCGGACGTGTTTTTGTTTATTGTAGGAAGTTTTCCGCCAGAAGAACGACACTGATTTAGGGAAGATAAGTCGGGAAACAGAACGGTAAGAGGATGTTGTACAGCCAAAGAAAATAAAGTTAAAAAGACAGAGTTTACCTGCAGAGACGGAGAAGGAAAAATCTGGAGGTTTTAGCAAACAACTAGCAGCTAAGCTAACTAGCTGGAGCTGAGGCAGGATTAGCAGCTAACTTTAGCTCATCCAAACACACATGGCGATAAAACTGAGACGTTCGTGTGAGGATTATTTAGTAACCTTAAATGTACTCCTTTGGAGTTATTTATTTATCTTAGTTATATCAGGTCGAAAAAAAGTTCACTTAACTTCGTGTTTCCTGTTCGTCAGCAAATGTAACTTAACGTTACAGGTAAATCTAAACTCCTAAAAGTGACAATGAAGTTTTACCTGAAACTCTCCAGACACTTCTCTTCAAAAGGTCAGTTAACCCACATGACAAAACGGCAGCTGCGTAGGTAACGCTAAGGTAACTTTTACCTGCTCTGCAATATCATTGGGACAGCACAGAAAAATTGCATTTGCAAAAACTTACCAACTTACCACAGTACCAATGTGTGTTGTTACAAGAGCTGAAACGATTTTTGGTTAATTGGTAAATTGAAAGACAGAAAATACACAGTCAACTATTCTGATCTGTCATTTAATTTATTGACTAAAAGCAAATATTTTATGATCCCTTCACCTTGCTTTTCATGTTGTTCATTATATGTACATAAATGCTGTATATACATCTGGGTTTTGAACTATTGGTGTGTCATCGTGTTGAGTTTTAGGAAACTGTGACGGGTATTTCCCACTTTTATGGGGTGGCTGTGGCTCAGGAGTTAGAGCGGTTTGCCTGTTAATCCCCGGCTTCTCCAGGTTTCATGTTGAAGTGTCCTTGGGCAAGATGCTGAACCCGAATTACCCCTGGTGGCTGTTCCACCAGTGCATGAATGTGTGTGAATGTGATGTAATGTAAAAGCGCTTTGAGTGGTCACAAAGACTAGAAAAGCGCTATACAAATACGGAGTATTTACATTTACGCTGCTTTGCAATGTTATATAGACCAAGTGATTAATCGAGAACATAATCTGTAGATTCATAACTGACTTGGGTTGATTTGATTGATCTTCAAAGCTGGCTTAAAGTTTGTGTGGTTTAACCTTTTTATATACAGTCTATGGGTTTAACACATGTGTAACCCAAAGAGAAGCTATTCACTGCCAGCTGAATCATAACCAAGACATTACAAAGATCTTTTTGAAGTAATCATCAAAGTAACATTTTCCCTGCTGTCGGAAATACTCATTAGAGCACCACATGAGTATTAATCCACTGTTGGTCCCAAAAAAGATTTCCCCCTGTTTGAGTAACTTTTAATTCATTAAAAAGTACAGTGGCCAGCTGCTTAAAATGGAACTATATATTTGTGAGCCATTTTTTAAAGATTTATGTCTTCAGGAGGAACCAGTGGGTTTGGGGATGAGAGCCACAGATATTTAAGGGAAGTCAGAAAGTGTTGAGAGACGGACTAATTGTTGGTTCGGGTATTTTCATGGATTAGAAGACAATATGCCAGTGTAATTATGCTGTATAAATAGGGTTCATTCTGCTATTCTTTATGTATGCGTTGATCTGTGATGGCTCTTGGAATACATTTTAATTTTAATAAAAAATGTGTGTTTTTCAGGGATGGACCCTCCAGGCAGAAGTCGAAGTCCCAGTCCTGCGCAGAGAGAACACAGTGGTGAGTAAAACCTGCTGTTTTTTAAGTAACATTACTAGAAGTTGTAGCTGTTTTGTTATTCATCTGATAATGATGCGCGCTCTCTCTCTGTCTTCTGTCTCTCTGTCTTCAGGACCTTCAGATGACGAGTCCAGTCCAGCAGATAAAAGGCCCCAACAGTCCGGCACAGTTGAGAAAAGCCCCAAAGAGAGGCCGTCCCCTCGGGCCAGTCCTGCAGGCCGCACCTCCTCCAGGAGTCCTGCCTCCAGCAGCTCAGACAGCAGCAGCAGCAGCAGTGATGATGAGGATGAACATAACGGGGCACTGAGGAAGATTAGGAGTAGCGTGGCTCAGATCAAAGTAAGCAGTGACTAATATGGATACTGGCATCTGATGTGCTTACATGCACTGATTACAGTTGATTTCGTGTTGTTAAGGGCCATGTAAACAAGAACAGCCAGACAAACTAAAGCTAAAAGTTAACCTTCCCTCCTTTCGCTATGAGGCAATTTTTTCCCATTAAGTTTCCCTTGGCACTCTTATAAACTAAAATACAACCAGGCTTCAGACAAGCTGAAAAGTCTCTGCAGGGCTGTCCTTCGCTGTTTAGTTATTGACCAAAACAAACCCATGTTGTATGCTGTGCATGCGTGCCTGCTTCTGGGAGACTGTCAATAACTTTGGTTAGTGCTGGAGAGTATTGACCATGAGTTTTTCAAAGCGTGGTAATCGAACATGGTTATCATGATGATAATAAAATGTGTACGGTAATAATAACCATCGGGAATTTTTTACCATGGTTTATCATTAAACCGTGCACCGTTTCATCCATATGTTGTTGGGTCGACTGCCACGGCTTGATGTCTCGTAGCCAAAGGTAACATCTCTTCAAAAACACAAACTGAGAGCTCAGATCAGTGTGTGGGTCCCTTTTTCAGTCTGTCTGTGAGTTGGTTGGTCTGCAGTGTTAGTTTCCATGGCAACAGAGCAGAGTTTGGCATCAAGACATGTTAGTGAGATGGAGTATTCAGGGTTACATTTAGCCGGCCTGATCATGAAACAGTGGTGAGCAGCATCTCCACTGAGTAAAGAAGCAGCTTGTTGATTGACAAGAAGAGAAGTGTGTCCATTACTGTCATCTTAGACACGAACTCCCCGGGTACCTCCAGGCTTTCAATGACCCAGACTCACTCTAAGTTGAGCCGGAGCTGCCGTGTTGTCCCTCTCATTGAGCTAAACTCACACTTTTAAAAACAGCAGCTTGTTTTTCTGTTGGTCCGGTGTTCTCTGAGGAGTTTCCCCAGGCCATCCTGAATTCAGGGACGATCCATACCATTTTAACATATGAACACTGCTGACACTCTGGATTTATTTGCTGTCCAGAGATCAAGGTCCAAGTCAAGGTCCAGAGAGCGAGACGGATCCAGATCCAGATCCAGCGGACGAGACGGATCCAGATCAAGATCAAGATCCAGGGGACGAGACGGATCCAGATCAAGATCAAGATCCAGAGGACGAGACCGGTCTAGGTCTAGAGGACGAGACAGATCCAGGTCCAGAGAGAGAGACCGGGACCACTATGACAGAGGACGGTATACTAGGTAACAGACAGAGCCACACAGCTTTTGATTAGCTTGTAAGAATGTGTAATTAATATATTTGTAAATAATAAGTATTGAAAATTAAGTGATCAGTATGTTAAAGGGCTCGTGGATGTGAAACTAGGTCATAAGACTAAAGTTTTTCAGTTTTTTCTGTCATATCCCTAAAACACACAACAACACATAATAAGCAGTCAGGTGAAGCAAAACAAAAAAATGACCTTGATATAAAACAAAGTGTTATGTAGGGCAGGGCGATATGACCAAAAAGTTTATCCCAATAAAAGAATGTCATGTCATTAAATATTGATAATTATTACAATGAAATGTCAAATCATTATTTCTTTCAAGTTTAAAGGCTGATTTTTGCTCCTGAGTGAAAGTTCAAGAAACCAGACAAACTTTTCTTGTACTTTTCTTTATGGTCAGAACAAACACTTGACAGCAAACAGTGGATCACATAACAAATTTGATGTAGAACATTCAAAACAATTATGATGAATTAAATTTAAATCAACATTTATTGAACATTTCTTACATTTTTATTGAGGAAATTATATTGTGATAATTATCTGTATTGTTTTATTCCCAGACCCAATGTCTTGTATAAAATTGAAGCATTCTCTATATGTCATATTTCCATTTCATTAAATAAAACAGTTTTACACCTGTTTATAAAAACGAGTTCTTCCCGCGAAACAGTGTCTCTTTAATGGCGGCATCATGCTGTATTAGTAAACATAAACATACTCCAGCTATTAAAATCATCAGACTTTTTAAAGCAACACCAGACCGGTTCAGACCTGAAAGGTGCTCAGAAAAAAACAGGCTAATTGGGTAACAGCAGTTACATCACAAAATTACAAAAAAAAAGCTTTAAAATGTAATTTTTCTTTTGTCTCTTCCTGTCTGCTCTGCCCAGGGATCGCTATGATGATCGCCGTGATGACAGGGGCGGGCGCTTTGATCGATGGACCAATCGGGATGCAGAACCAGATCACAGGAGGCGAGGCCGCTCCGCCTCGCCTCCAACAGACAGAGAGCCTGTGGCAGATGACCAGCCGCCTGTCAAGAAGAAGAAGGAGGAGCTCGACCCGATCCTCACGAGGACCGGCGGGGCTTACATCCCCCCAGCCAAGCTACGCATGATGCAGCAGCAAATCACTGACAAGAGCAGGTAAGAGTATTGTTAATTATTTTATAGGTGTTAGGTTTAGACAACACTTAAAACTTTTAGTTTTATTTGTTTTTACCACAACTCCTCATCTGCGATGCATTCAAGGATGCTCTCACATCTAAGATTTGAGCGGTGAGCTCCTTTTAGCAAATAAGACCTAGACGACTTAAAAACAGTAAATAAGGAGTGTATATGGTCAAGCTCTGCGGCAGATTTTTCATTAAAAATCTTAGTGGCTTACCAACACTTGAACGCATCATCAATGGCATAAAGCACAACAACTATTTCATCTTGAGCAGCAGTTTTGAGCAGGTTGTGACTCCAGACCCATGATGTGTTACTGAAATCTCAACTGTTTAAACGACTCTGTGTAATCTGTGTATGTGTTGTTGTTGTTGATGCCCCACCCCCTGTGCAGCCTGGCCTATCAGAGGATGAGCTGGGAAGCTCTGAAGAAGTCCATCAATGGTCTGATCAACAAAGTAAACGTGTCGAACATCGTCATGATCATCCAAGAGCTGCTGCAGGAGAACATCGTCAGGGGGAGGTGAACAATGAAACAGCACCAACAACATGAATCACATTAATCCTCTGTATTCAAATATATGCTTCTTTAACAGTAAAATTATTTTATTTACAAAATATTTTTGGGCAGCTAATCATATCACAAACACATGAGGGTTTAGTGTTAGAAGTTTGTGACACTTAAAGTGAAACCTAAAAAACTGGATCGTCATTCATAAGATGTAATGAAACTTACAGATTCAAGTGAACCCATATAGTGAAATAAAGGGCTATCAGGCACTTTTTGACACCTATAAACTAATTACATTTTTTTAAAGTCTGGAGGTTATTTGCTGTCTGACTTACTGTCTCCCTGACTTCCTCCCTAACTCTGTACTTGTATATCTGTCAGAGGTCTGCTGGCTCGCTCGGTGCTGCAGGCTCAGTCGGCATCGCCAATATTTACTCATGTTTACGCCGCCGTTGTCGCCATCATCAACTCCAAGTTCCCTCAGATTGGAGAGCTGATCCTCAAACGCCTCATCCTAACCTTCAGGAAGAGCTACCGCCGCAATCTCAAGGTACCCATCTATAGCTGTTAAGTGGATATGCATGCAGTGTGACTAAAACATGTGACTGATAGGGGTGGGTGGCGAAAAAAATGTAAATGCTTAAACCACTCTGGTTGTGTGAAGAAAATAACTGTAGCAAGTAATTTTATAAAGCCCTGTGCCCAGACAGTGTTTTGGTTGACGATTTGAAAGAATGCGATCTAGCTAATCATAAAGACGATGATTAAAATGTAGAAAAAAATTGAAATTAATTCTACACCATCTCACCTGTTTTAAACAGTCATGCAGTTACAAATTCATCCTTGTGTGACAGATCTGCTTGCCAGTCACAAGCTCCATGCTCCTCCTGTTATTGTCCTACTCACCAATCAGAGCGGGCACAGGGCATGTACATTTTACAACATTTACTCATTTGACGCTTTTTTTCCAAAGCGACTTGCATACAACTGACAATACATACTAGTAAGAGCAGCAATAAATACTAGTAAGAGCTAATAGCACATATCATATCAATGGGGTAAATACCTAGGGAAAGAAGTGAGTTAAGAAAAAAAAGTGCAATCAATACAAGATAATAGAAGAAGAAGAGCACAGGAAGTGCAAGTTAGAGGTTAGGAGTTGTGCGGCATTCTGACCAACTGCGAATTTTCACCTCGCGACGCTTTACTCGCGTGAGTACATTCGCTGCAAGTGTTCACACATAACGCGAGAAGGCAATTTTAACGTGAATAACCACAACTTGCAATTACTTCAACTGTATCAACCCAAAGTAAACATTTTGCTGTGATTTTGCTGCGTTTGTTGGAGGAGCTTAGTGGCCGAGAAGGAACGTCAACTTGTCTTATGGAGTTTAGGTAGATGGGTGCAGATCCAGTAGTCACTCTGTATGCAAGCATTAGTGACTTGAATCTGGTTCTGGAGGCCACGGGGAGCCAGTGGAGGTCACTGAGTAATGGAGTGACATGAGTCCTTTTGGGCTGGTCAAAAACAAGACCCACTGCTGCGTTCTGAACCATTTGTAGGGGTTTCACCACACAAGCTGGAAGACCTGCTAGGAGGGCATTGCAGTAGTCGAGGCGAGAGGTAACCATGGCCTGTAAGAAGCTGGGTGGCGTACTGAGTGAGGTAGGGCCTGATTTTTCTGATGTTGTATAGAGCAAAGCGGCACGACCGAGAGACGGCGGCAACATGGTCTAATAAGGACAGCTGGTAATCAATCATGACACCCAAGTTTCTCACCACCCTGGTTGGAGTGATGGTTGAGGAGTCAATTTGTAGTTTGATGTTATGGTGGATAGATTGCTTGGCTGGAATGACCAAGAGTTCAGTCTTAGAGAGGTTAGTTGAACACTTCTAGAGGAAACATGTGGGACAATGGCACCAGGTGAACCGACACAGGCAGCGGCTGTGTGTTTCAGCAGCGAAGTGTTAAGCCTACACGTTGTTAACGTTACATATCCACATGGGGCATTTCAGAATAAGAGTGTTTTGCCCGTTTGATTATGCTGAGTTACTCAGATTTTGCTTATTTGTTCAGTTGTCCTTGATTTTTGTGCTTCTACTATGGTTAAGTAGGCTACGTAGTTAAATTGTTTTAATTGTGTTTATTGTTGATGTATGATTGGGAGTCTGCAAAGGGTGTTTTATTTGGAAAATTGGCTAGATTCTCTTTGCCGTTCTTTGTCTGACTTTCTGCCTGAATCATCTGCTCTGTGCTGCTTGACGTGGCTTCCATCAAAAATAGACTGGCATTGAATATTGAACTTTAGCAAAAAATTGCAATATCTGGCAGAAAAATTGCAACTCGATTTCCCCCCCCCCCAAATCGATCTGCCCTACTTTACAGACAAAAGATGGTAAAATGCTTCCAAATGAGTGCAGTTAATATTTTGAAATAAAATTCTGATTACTCTTTGCTTGTTTCTCTGCTTGTTTGTTTGTCAGTCAGCATCCTTCATCAACACCATTTAGCTTGACTGCCAGTTATGTTTCATAATGCATTTCAACAGACATAAGGACATGAGTCACTTGAGTAAGAGCCCATAAACTGCCTCCCTTTCTGTTTATTCAATCAAGAATCCTTTCTGAATCTAACTGTGAGATAGGGTATGGCCGACAGACGATGCCGTGAGCCGCACGTTAGCTTATTAATGATGCAGCCTATCAAACAACTGAAACCAACATCTGCACCCTGTGTGTTCAATTCTGCTTTACCTGCTCCGTAGGTAAAATATCCACCGCAACTTGTAACGTAAGTTAATAGTCTACCAATTTTTTTTTTTACCGAATGAAGGTTGTGCGAGAACACAAGTATGCACATAAGACGACTGCTGCCGACTTCGCGCGTGTGTGCCCGATGACTTTGTCCATCCCGATGTCTCATTCAGACATCGTCGATGGAAATTTTGTAGACATCGCCCAACCCTACTGTGAGATGCCCAAAGATTTCCACCACATGTGATTTTGAGGTGGAAATGTTCCAGCTTGAGCAGACTGAAGTGGTATAGTCCAATGTACAGAGACAAGAAAGAAACTGGAGCTAAATAAGAGAATCAACTGGCAATCCTTGAAAGTTTTGTGTTTACCTAACTGCAGCTAATGTCTCTACTGTTTGCTTACAAGAAATTGACACTATCACACGATCAGTTTGTGTTCAGTCTGAACACACCTTAACCAGATTTAAAGCTGTAAAAAGTATTTTATATACATTGCTATTAAATTAGTATTATGTTTCAAATCATTTCAAATATTGGCTTTATTAGGTGTAGTATTAGTGATGTATTAAAGCCAAGTCTGTCTTTTGTTTTCCAGCAACAGTGCCTGACAGCCTCAAAGTTTGTGGCACATCTCATCAACCAGAACGTGGTAGGTCCTGCTGTGTGACTTTAATATTGATTGAGGGTTTCAGTGTTGGATTTTCAGCGCTAATGAAGTGTGTTTACTTCTCTGTCTCTCTTTCGCGCTTTCTCTTTGTCTGATCCAACGTGTCTCGCTCTAAGGCCCATGAGGTTTTGTGTCTGGAGATGCTCACTCTGCTGCTGGAGCGTCCAACTGACGACAGTGTGGAGGTCGCCATCTCCTTCCTGAAGGAGTGTGGACTCAAACTGACCGAAGTCTCTCCGCGAGGAATCAACGGTACACTGTAGCTTCAGCTAAACTCATTATCATCCTCATAGTTTGAGACGATGACAAGGAGCTCAAATCGATTAATCATTTAAGTCAGTCATCACAAGCTTAAAAAGCCAAGCATTCTTAGTCCCAGCTGAGCTTTGCTGACCTTGAATGGTTTAACTTCTCACCTTGCTGTAGTACAGGTGTGCTTCAGGTGTGCTTAATCACTTTTGGGTATCACAGGTGCAATAAAAGCACAAGTCAGATGTGAAACAGGCATGAATGTTCCACCAGAGCGGGCAGCAAAATCCTGCTTTTCATTCTGGTTTTAAATTCATCTTTATGATGACCAAAATAAATGTTTAAAATGGGGGGAAAAAAGGAACCCAAAAAAGTCAATTGGATGTTGAAATGACAAGTTGGTTTTGTGAAATGGCATTTTGAAAGTAGAGTCGCAACGATTAGTCAATTAGTCAATTATTCGGTCGAAAGAAAATTAATCGACAAAGATTTGGATAATTGTTTCAGGCATTTTTTAAGCAAAAATGTGAAAATTTAGCTGGTTTCATCTTCCTTAATTGAGGAATTGCTGCTATTCTTTGCATTTATGATAGTAAATGAAAAGTCTTTGGGTTTTGGACTGTTGGTTAGACCAAAGAAACAATTCGTAGATGTCACTTTGGGCTCTGGAAAATTGTGATGAGCAGTTTTCAGAATTTCTTGACATTTTGTAGACGATTAATTGTGAAAATAGTCGGCAGATAAGTCGATAATGAAAATAATCGTTAGTTGCAGCCCTATTTGAAAATGAAAAATGTGATTAAAAATCCTGAAATGGAAAATACAAACAAATGCAAAATCTTGTTAGAGTGAATGCAAAAGGCAGGCAGCAAATAAAAAAAACAAGAAGATGGTGCATTCCTGTAGGCGAATGGTCACAGCCCATGCCACATGGTTTGATTCAGGCAGAGGGACGTTTTTGCATGTCATACCTCTGCCTCCCTGCTTGTTTCCTGTCAGCCTCTTCATTGTCAACTGTTCAACATGCCAAAAAAAGCTACCTTTTTATTTTAATAATTAATCTAGTCAGATGTTGTTATACATGTTTTCATTTTCGGTTTAAGCTTTCACATTTAAGCTTTTCTGTTTTCCATTTCAGGTTTTTAACTTACACTTTTTGAAATTGTCATTTTACAATATCAGTTGGTCATTTTATAATCCAATTACTTTTTGTACTTTTAACATTTAAATATGATGATCCTGAGTACAAAAATAATTTGTCACTTTTTGTGCGTCTTTTTGTTTTTCATTCTAGGTCCTTCATAGTTAATGAAGTATTACAATTGCAATAATTGATATGTAATGTAATTCAATTTGTTTCTTTCTTTACAACAGCTAGTATTTTTCTCTAGGCCTTGCAATATTTCTGCAAGAAATACTCCCCAAAAAATATTTTAAAATTGACCAATCACTGTCCTTTTCTTATTAAATCTTGGGCACTAGTCGCCTGAATATTGGAAAATGAGGTTTCTGACCAAAAGGTTCCCGCTGAAAGTATTCTGGGTAAATAAAGTTTAAAAAATGTAATAACCAAGCTCTAAACTACCGCTAGGAGCCAGCTTTAACAAACCTGCGTCATTATAAAACATTAACACCTGAGAGACACTTTCTTTCCCCTGAAATTAGCTTGTCAGGCTGAGGTTTTTCTCAGATGTATGTCAAGAATATTAATAGCCTGAAATGCTGAACTCAGACTGATCCCTTTAACTAAACAGTATTGCATTTGTAAGAGAACACAAAAATAGATCCCTAATTTCAGCACAATGCATCAGAAAAGTCTCTACAAATTATGCCTGTCACTCTTTTCAGCCATATTTGAGCGTCTCAGGAACGTCCTCCATGAGTCGGCCATTGATAAGAGGGTCCAGTACATGATCGAGGTAATGTTTGCCATCAGGAAGGACGGTTTCAAAGATCATCCGGTGATCCCAGAGGGTCTGGACCTGGTGGATGAGGAAGACCAGTTCACCCACATGCTGCCACTGGAGGACGAGTACAACACCGAGGATGTCCTCAGTAAGCCCCAGAGAGGGAGGGGGGACTCTGCCTCGCTCTAAACTCTGCAGAAATACGTATGCATGTATATGCAAGCCTAACGTACGTATGTGTGTTCACTCAGATGTGTTTAAGATGGACCCAGACTTCCTGGAGAATGAAGAGAAATATAAAGCCATTAAAAAAGGTGAGAATGCGCACAAACATCACACTGTTAACTGTCCAATCAGCTATCACTTCCTTCAAAGTTTAACCAATCAGATGTCCCCTCCTGACAGAAATCCTGGACGAGGGCAGCAGCGATTCGGGGGAGGACGGAGACGGCAGCGACGAAGATGAAGACGATGCAGATGAGAATGAGGAGGAGGGAGATGGTGAGACGGACGAGTCGATGGTTTTCTTTCTCTAATTTAAGGGGCGTTGATTTTACTGCTCGCCCCATGAAAACAATTGTGTAACGTTTTCTATGGCTCTGGAGGAGCTTTTGTCAAGTCTGAGAAAAATAACCCGGATGGGTTATCTCCATATTGGGCTTGACAGCAAATTTTAAACAGAAAGCTTGAGTTTATAAACTGGAGGGAGGGTTTAAAGAAAAAGACGCTATCCAGTTGCATTATGAGAAATATAGGATCCAGTGTTTTTGGGTTTGAGTATTTCGACCTCCGTTGCATCATTGTAAAAGTAGTTCAACATTTTGGGGTAATACATTTTTCATTTTATTGCCGAGAGGTCACTCTACTGTCTGTTTGTTGAATAGGAAGCTACAGCCAGGAGACGGTTAGCTTAGCATAAAGACTGGAAACGGGGAAATAACTTGGCTCTGTTTAAAAAAATAAAAATAAAAATCCACCTGCCTACACCCTTTAAAGCTCACTAATTATAGGCTTCCTCTGGTGTTTTTGACGCATTCAGGGTTTTTCCTGGCTTGGAATGGGCCTTTTTAGGGGCCATTTTAACACAAAACACAACCAGCCAAATCTCTCTCGCTCTCGCTCTCTCTCACACAGATGAGAAGGTCACCATCTTTGATCAGACAGAAGTCAACCTGGTTGCTTTCCGAAGAACCATCTACCTCGCTATACAGTCCAGGTACACACACAGTAACACACACTCAAAAATACACATCACACTGTCAGTGACTCAGTTGTCTCTCAGGGTTTTGGCAGTTATTTACAGCGCCTTCTATATTTTATGGACTTGGACTAATATTTAAAGCTGTGTGTGTAGCCTAGTTACCATGCTTTCATTGAAGAACACTTCACAGGTTTGGAGAATAGGATGAAACATGGAAACAGATTGAGAAAATTACACATGTACAGAAACACACAAACAGTAACACACACACAGTTGGACACATTTGCTCACTGGACACTAACTGATTGATTGTTTTCCTTTAGTTTGGACTTTGAGGAGTGCGCTCACAAACTGATCAAGATGGACTTTCCTGACAGCCAGACGGTGAGTCCATAAACGCGCGCACACTTGGCCGATGTAAAAAGGCTTTAGTGACACACACAGTAATGACGATGACTCTAAAGTGAGATGACACACAGTATACAGTCGTTAACTACAAGTGTTAGATTGACAAAGCTAGACTGCTGAAACACTCCATTGACAATCAATTCATCGTTGAAGTCATTTGTTAAACAAAAATACCTAAAATGTTTATTTCATCTGCTGACCAGAAGGTGGCACTGATAAACAAGTTCAGTAGAGCTGCAACAATTAGTCGATTAATTGTTTAGTTGTCAACTATGAAATTAATTGGCAACTATTATGATAATCGATTAATCGTTTAGAGCATTTTTTAAAGGATATGAAAGATTTCAGCTTCTTAAATGTGATTATTTTCTGGTTTCTTTACTCCTCTATAGAGCCCGACCGATATGGGTTTTTGGGGGCCGATGCTGATATTAAAGTGAAAAAGTGCCGATTTATGAGCAGATATTTTGATTTTAAGAATGATTTGGATAGTAGACCCCCTTACTGTATAAACTACACTTTAGGCCGATATTGAAAGCTGGAATGTATGTGGGCTATAAAACCTTTTCCTAAATGGATTATATTAATAAAATAGATTACAGTCTCAAAAAGTGACCATGTAAACAATTGCACATCAATAAATATTTGCTGCTGGAAGGTGCAACTTTTTCTGCCCTCTGTAAAAAGAGAGAGTGAGAGAGAACAAGTGTGTGTACACCAGAAACTATAGTTTAATGGCTCATTAAAAGGTTGGCGCGTTTTGTGGCTAATTTAGCAAAGGGCAGCGTGAGCTGCTGTAACTTTACGTGATTTTAGAGATTATTTAGAAGTGATGAACTTGGGACAAAGGTGGACCGTTCACTACAACTGCCACACTGTTTGAAATAAATGTACAGTTACGTCTGTCCAGCAGCGTAGCTTTCAACACCCAACTACCGTAACATTAACCTGCTGTGAGCTGGTAGGAAGCCGGGAGAATGCAGTGAAAAACGGGAGGGTTGGCAAGTCATGAATGTTTTCAGGAGAAGAGATTGGGTCTGTTTTTATTATAATTATTTAAGTCATGTAATTAACGTGACAAAAGACCGACTCACCCTTCACACAGCCCTCTGCCTGTTTCTAAATTCTACGTGTAAGCTCTGGTAAACTCTGGTCAGCTGACTGTTTTGTTCTGTGGTTTTTGTGGTGAGGCGGTGTAGTTAACAGGGCAGCTGCAGCTGGTCACCGTCTGGTGGGCAAACTATGCAACACGCATGACATGAGTGAAGGATCTGAAGTGGAATTTATACTTCTGCGTCAAATCGACGGCGTAGGCTACGGGGCTACGCAGAGGCTACGCTGTCGCCTGACGTGCACCTCTTCAAAAATGTAACTACACGTCGAGTCGACACGGACCGTAAGCTCTGTGATTGGTCGGCTGGGTGGCCTCGCAATGCCTCCGAACCGACAGGAAGTACCCCACGCTTTGAAGTAACATTTACTAGCGGCCAAAACGGCGGCTGTAACACAGTGAATCAATATATTTGACCGTCACAATCCGAGCGAAATGACTCGTTTCTCTTTCAGAATGCGATGTAACATTTGAAAAGGCTACACCAGCCGCACGTTTACAATTTTACCCCCATTAGCGGAGCTCTAAACCGGAAGTTAGCCTGTATAAGGAGTATAAATCACAGCCGACCAATCACAGTGCTTATGGTCTGCGTCGACTCGACGTGTAGTTACATTTTTGAGGAGGTGCGCATCAGGCGACGGCGTAGCCTCTACGTAGCCCCGTAGCCTACGCCGTCACCTATGTCGTCAATTTGACGCAGAAGTATAAATTGCACTTTAGTCTTATAGTATGATGAGAAAACATGTTCAACTAGACTCTTATTTCATTGAGTTTTCTTTTTCAAACCGTATGTTTTCACTTTTACTGCCTCAAGAGAAAATACTTTAGTACGAGGGCCATTTGATGTGTTTGCCAGACGTACCACTATCTCTGGAAAACGTTAACTGGGGTTGCTTTAATGTAAACTTCTCCAAATCCAATAAAGAGCAGGACTGAGAGCTGTTAACTTGGAGAAGTGTTTGACTTTGTTTTAGGATTGTAGAGCTGAAATGATCAGTCGATTAATTGTTTAACAGAAATTAAAGCGGCATCAATTTTATTCATCAAGCACAAACGTCCACTGGTTCCAGCTTCTTTAATGCGAGGATTTTCTGCTTTTCTATCTTTTTATATTAATTGTTATCGAGTGTCTTTGGGTTTTGGACAGTTTGTCAGACAAAACCAGACATATGAAGATGTCACATTGGACCCCAGGAACTGGTGATGGGCAATTTTCACAGTTTTAAAGAGGTGTTGTTATGCTTTTTGGCTTTTCCCCTCTCCTTTATTGGGTAATATATCTTTTTTGTGCATGTAACAGGTTTGCAAAGTGAAAAAGCCCAAAGTCCAGCCCAAAGGGAGTTCCCATCTCCCACAGAAAGCTCTGCTCTGAACCGCTTGAAAACAGCTCGTTTGTAGTCCAGCCCTTCACTTTCTTTACTTGTGACGTCACAATGAAAACGCGTCATAAAGCTTGCCAAGTGGCTGGCAGGGTCAGGCACGCCCTCAAACCAAGCTAGTCTGAGCGGAGGCCCTTTGGCTCTACTCACCTTTGTTTGGTTTTCCATTGTTGAAATGTTGTACCTGTTTCCAGGTACTTTTTTTCGAATCACCTCACCTCCATCGAGGTTCCAAGCGAGCGGAGGGATACTAAAATGTAACGTGAAAACACAGCAGAATACTGATTGGTCAGAGAGAATATTCACTATTCACTGAATCATCATTGCGTGAGCCAGACAGAGGCCAGCAACAGAAAGTTTTACAGTTTTCGTATGGAATTTCATCACTAAATCCATTTCTGAGAAGTTTTGAGGTGAGAAATCAGCTGTGTAGATTTCGAATATTGACAGTTTTACGAGAAGTGATGACGAAACAAAAATGTGCTTGAATATTTTCGGAGTTGAGGAGCTCTGCAAGTGGCTGCAGGGGAGGAGCATGTGAGGCCGGTCAGCCACCCGCTCACAGAGCCCTCTGCTCCCTCCGTCACAGACCGCTGCAGCAACAACGGCAGAGGAAAACACAGCTGGAAGGATTTCATACCGCTTATCTGTCTTTACATTCTGAGTAATGTTGAAACGTTTTAACCATAGATATATTTTAAGAGCTGGTGTGTGTGTCGAATTGAACATTACGTTGCAGCAGTTGTGTGTGGCGTCGCTATGACGACTATCTGCAATGGTAAACGCAGCAGGGCCGAGTAGAGTTGAGTCTATCGATTTGCGCTATGGTAGCATTTTTCGGCAAGGATAAACAAGCATAGATCGTCAGAACACCGGTAGCAGTTCACGTTTAGTCCTGATGGTAAGATGTGGAACAATGATGTTGTGTGGTTGTGGACTGGTAATAACCATAGACTGTATATAAAAAGGTAATAACTTATACCATCTGCTAGGTTACGGTCGTAGTCTGAAGCGGCTTTGTTTTAGATCACACTACCTTGTTTCTTACGACCCGTACTTCTCTGCTTCTGATTGGCTAGTAGTCCTTACCTGGGAACTGCACATGTGCAACTCCCAACAGCGTACAACACATAGGGTGAAAAGAGGAGCTGCAGGATGAGAAAAATATGGTGTTTGTTGAAAATGAAACCATGTAAACCTGTTCTGGTACAACCCCTAATTAAGATTTTAAACCTGAAAATGAGCATAATACCACCTCTTTAAGACATTTTTTGTTGTAGATTTAATAATTAATTGTGCTTAAGTTGATTAACTGACTGAGAGAACCAGAGATCAATTGGTGAACAAATTATACTTAATGTCAGGGGCTTGTCTCATCTGTGGCATCATGACGTCATCTGTTTATGTCCATGTTTTTTATGCAATGGTAAATGTTGCTGAATCTGAAGTCACAGAGAACGAGAGAGGAAACACCTGCTGTACGATGCGGATACGGTCCTCACAAATATATTTACGCCAGCTGCGTCTGTGTGTGTGTTTGAGGTCAGAGCTGATGACCTTGTCAGCCAGAGTTTCATCAGCATCAGGACTGAATCATTCAACACAACAGCTGGAACAGACACTCACGCACATGCTTGTCCCCTGACGGGCTTCTCACAGCCTCTGTCTTAACTAAGGCTGTACTGAAAGTCTTTTTTTTTTTTTTTTTTTTTTCCTTTTTGTATTTGAAGCTCCTGGTGAGATTTTCCAACGAAGCTCCGAATGTCTGTCGTCATATTTTAAGTCATCACCAAAGAAAAACTTTTTTTATTGTTTTGTCAACGTAAATGCATATAGGCAGCAAGCTAATTCCAAAATCAGTGTGACACTCACTCATTGTGCAAAGGTCGGTAGTTATTAGTTATTAGTGCCGAAATGGATTTTTCTGTAATTATGGTTATAGAATTTATGGTGCTGTTAGATTACTGCTAGACTGCTTACTCGGTGCCTTTCATGTTACAGGGTGGACGTCAGAACAAATTAAACCTAAAAATCAAGCAGTAATGGTTCTTAATTTTATAAATATGGACATCATTTGTGAGTTTGAACTGAGAATACGGCAAACAACATCTTAAATAAAAAGAAAAGAGAAGAGAAGGAAACTGTATAAAAAAAGGCAGTGGCATTTCAGCCGGAAGAGATTAATATGTTAGTGGAGAAAGACCAGAGAAATAGCATATCAGTTGCTTAAATCAATTAGTTTTGGCGCGTTTGTTATTATTATTTTTTTGGGTCGTCCTGACGAATCTTAGCCTCCTGTGAGTGGTTAGGAGGCATGCACGTAGGAGCCATTATACATGGAAGGGACATGTCTGTCCAACTTTTTGTCCAGCAATTTCGGAGTTGGCTCGTAGCCGAGGTGGTTTACTGTGAGTCAGTCAATCACACACTACACATCAGGCATAAATAAATGGTTGAAAAGTGGACAAATTCATGTAGGTCGATAGAAAACATGCGACACAACACAAAGGTGGTGCTGAAAAGTTAAGGGAGAAAAGTTCACTCGAGGCAGGTGCAGCAAAGTGCCTCAATATTATAGACTTTTCTTTTGTGCTGCTGTTACTTGCAGCCTACCTGAAGACAGTAGTGAGGATGCCTGCAGCAGGGTGGGTAGTAACTTGTTACAAGTAACACTAATTTGCAAAATAATGAATAAAATAAGTCATTGGCACCTTTCCTTTATTAAACTGTATTTTCTTTGGGCCAGTAATCTACTTTTAATTTTGCTACATTTTATACCTTCATAATTTAACCAGTCTGTAATCTGCATTTTGCTTCATTAACCGAAATGAGATGTTATCCAGGCTGTGCGCAGTTACGCAGAAGAGCGCTGGTCTTGGGCGCATGTCACAGAGCTGGGCTGATGCTAACATTTAGAAAATCAGGCAAATGCCTTTTCAGTTTAAGGCTTAATTGTTCTACTAATACAACTTAAATCCAGTGAGCATACACCATTTTCCATACACTGGTGGGCGTGTTGGAAAGCTGCCTGCGTCGCACTATTAGCCGGCAAGTGAAATACTTTCACTTTCCATTAACAACGTATTAAAAGCGTATTTAGTCTCTGCAGAGCAAATGTAGACTTCACACTGTAACGTCTAAATCTGAGGATCACTGGATAGATTCGGATATAAAACAGTGTCCTTTTGTTGAGCAGAACCTCGCTTTCTTCTGATGGACAGTAGCCTGTTTCTTTCACATCAGTTACTATTTGTTTTATAGCGATGTCTGACGGTGAGTCCATAAACAGAATGTCTCCGGTGAAACTAATCTTGGCTTTCACTCAGCAGCCAACAGCTGTTATTTATTCAGGAAACAATAATTTTTGAGATGCACAGGGAGAGAGAGAGAGAGAGAGAGAGAGAGAGAAAATATGGGTGATAAAACAGTCCTGTTGGGCTTTATGCATGACGCAAAGCTTCCTCTGTATGTAGGTTTACTCTGCTTCAACAACGAGCTGCTCCGTATTACTGTCACGATAATTTTTTGCGTTGTGAAAATAATTTAGATGCTTTAGGAATAATCAGATTCTATTGGCTGTAACAACACACGCAACCAGCACAACAAATTGCATTCTCTAGAAATAATCATGTTGCACAGCAGCTTTTTCTAACCTGATGCACAGCATATGAAATGTAATATTAAATATATTATACTTTTACTTGAGTAGGTTTATTCGCTCTTACTTTTTATGGGAGTAATTGTGCTATTTCTTGAGTAAAGACTTTGAGTACTTTACCCCCCACTGGCCAGCGGCACCAGTATTAGCGCAGGGCAGTAGCACAACAGAGTCAAAGCCAGCAAGATTGATGATGATATGGCTTAGAAAATGTATTTTAATGGCTCATTTAGTTATGTACTCTACTTGCATAAAATTCTCAAGAATGCAGGGATAAAGGTCTCTAAAGACCCAGAGCCTCTGGCATGTGAGACACCGGAAATATCACAGATCGCTCACAAGTGTAACATTTGGATAACTGAATACATTTATGCTGTGGCTAGCTACATTGACTAGCAGATGTTCCATGGTTTTTATTGTAGGTAGTTGGTTTTGTTCTAGTTGTATTATACTCAGTCTCTTTGACTGTGCACACGAGTCTTCAAAATCTCCCCTCCTTAGTCTGTTCTCCATCTTTTGTCACTGCAAATACCCTCTTTCAGCCACACTAATAAGTACATTTTGTTTTCAAAAGTCATTAGAAATGGGCATTTAAGTGCTTTATTTAAAAATAAATAAATCGGGGGGCATGCCCCCGAACACTCTAGCATTTCGGTGTCGCCTCCAGGTTCAAAGTCGCTCCTACGCCCTGTAGGAGGTACTTGTTAATCTACGATCATTTCAATGTTATGTTTATTACGATGCTTTTAGGAGACGCCTCTTAAGATTAAGAAGGTTCATAAGAAAACGGCTTTGCCTGAAGATGATTTTGGCGATTGGATCACACATTGTCCTAAATGCGTTTTAGCAAGTGCCTTTTCACCTGTACTTTCATGTGGTCATGCACTATCTGATGGCAACCTGATCACCAAAACACATTTTAATGCCAGACGTAGAGAGGGTCACGCTGATGTTGCTGATGTCTGAGGACATGGACACATCACACACACGATCCAAAACACATTTGCTGGAGCTGTTGTTTTCCCTCAGACTGAGTGATGATGTAGAGCCTTGCCTTGGCACAACTTAGGATGAAGCCCACCTCTGGGATTTTACACCTCGCTTCTGCACTCAGTCACACAATTTGAACTTTAACCCCATTTATCGCTGATCTTTCAGAGTGTCCAATCACAGATGACTGAGAAGCCTGAAGATGTACGAGTGTTTAGTGTTTGTAACTAACTGTTGGTCCTAAGACTTTCCCACCTCAGTTCAGATTTTCCATCAACCTGATGTGAAAACATATTTCTTCTTTTAACAAGATTTTTTATGTTTTCTGAGCAGAAGGAGCTGTGTAACATGATCCTGGACTGCTGCGCTCAACAGAGAACCTACGAGAAGTTCTTTGGCCTACTGGCCGGGGTAAGACACACACACACACACACACACACACACACACACACACACACACACACACACACACACACACACACACACACGTGTTTGTTTTACCATATGTATAAGAACATCGTATTGATTTATGGAGGCTTACTTATTAAGGGTCTGTTCACCACAATTTACCCTTTGCTAAGCCACACCCCGAATACGCAGCTGGCCAATCACAGCGCAGTATAGGACTCGCTCTTTTTTTTTTTTTTGCTGTATTTTTCCAAGATGCGGTCAAACACTTTTCCTGGGGCACTTGTAATAGTTGCAGTTGCTACCTTGAGAGGTTGAAAGGAAAAGTAAAAGAAAAATAAGAAGCTAACGCTAGCTAACTAACATTTTAGTTTTCAACTTTTAGTTTTTACGTGTCCAGGTGTTGAGATATCTTTATTTGAGATTTTTGCTTCCAGCACGACACATTGAAGGTGAATAAAATGTTTGTGGTAGTTTTGACAAATTACATTAAGAAAATTCAGCAGCAACAACTCTTTCCAGACACAATTTAAAAAAAAAAACAAACGACAACATTCTGCACACTTTTTATTAGAACCGCTTTAGCAAAGGTGAATTTGAACGAATGGGACTGTGTGTAACCAAGCAACGCCTAAAACAGCCGTATTTTTATTTAAGGTGAACCTGGACAAAATGTGCTTCAGTTGTGATTAACACCATACATTAGCCCTAAGCTTGAAAACTAAAACCATATCACCCAGCACTAATTGGCCCTGACAACAGGCCGACATGAACATAGGCCGTCATCTGTAGTAGTAACTTTGCACACTAATAAGTAAGTGTGTGGGAAATTCAGTCAGTTTTTTTGTTTGGATTAATCACAATGGCAACAAAAATACATAACATTTCAAGTGACAGATGATCTGGTCTTGATAGACTAACAAGTCCTGAAAACATAGGAAGCACTAGTGAACTACATGCAACTACAAACTGGACAAATTGAAAGTGCTTATTAACACTTTACACTAACGTGTGTTTGTGTTCAGAGGTTCTGTCTGCTGAAGAAGGAGTACATGGAGAGCTTTGAGGCAATTTTTTCGGAGCAGTACGACACAATTCACCGACTGGAGACCAACAAACTGAGGAACGTAGCTCGACTGTTCGCTCACCTGCTCTACACAGACTCTGTGCCCTGGAGTGTAAGGAAGCACACAGCCATTAAATCCACCCCAGTCGAACTAAACTCAGATTTAACACACATGAAGCTGGCTGTTCTTTCTAATTGATTTTCCTCATGTCATTGTACTTCCTCTCTTTCTCTCTCTGTGCTGTGTCTTCTGAATGTCTCTCGACCAGGTGTTGGAGTCTATCAGAATGAGTGAGGAGACCACAACGTCGTCCAGCAGGATCTTTGTGAAGATCCTTTTCCAGGAGCTCTGTGCCTACATGGGCCTACCCAGACTCAACCAGAGGCTCAAAGACCCGTACGAACACACACACTGAAACATGTTGCTGATGTTCAAAAATAAATTATTTTCTAATGCTGTAATAGATAATAAAACATGAACACTATGATTTGACAAAGATACGATAGGAAGTATTTTGTTAGCTACAAATAGCAAAAAGTAATAACATGAGTTTAATATGAACATTTTTACTGAAACACAACAGAGAAATAAACCATAAAACACAGTTCATATTAAAAGAAAACACAAAGAAACAGCACTGTAAGCCAAAAAACTTTGTGTGTGTTTCAGGACTCTGCAGCCGTTCTTTGAAGGTCTATTTCCTCGAGATAATCCCAGAAACACTCGCTTCGCCATCAACTTCTTCACCTCTATTGGACTTGGAGGACTGACGTAAGGGGACACATATGAACATACTATACACACACACACACACACACACACTGTACATAAACAACATGGCCAAAAATCTGAGGACACTTTAACATTACAGCCATATGTGAAAATCCTGAGCATTAATCTGTTGCTATAACAGGGTGGTTTCCTCAAAAAAGCCTTGAGTAAAGCCTTTTAGAAGGTATCAAGAATATGTTCTCTCCCCTGCTGAAAACAGTAATGTTTTTATATCCAATAGCAGGATTTCATGAGATGATAAATATATATAAACTTAAAGTGGGATTATTCACAGTGGATTGTGCTGCAGGAGGCTGTTTTCAGGTTTCAGTAGCAAACAGTCACAATTGCTCGCTACAGCAGATGGGAAGCTCATCATCTCACAATGTGTTGAGTTTAGTCAAAACTTAAATGAATGAATCATCCATCTGTTTTCTGCCGCTCAGTCGAGTCTAGGTCATGTTCATTTAATTATATCTATTAGAATAATTGTTATTTACTGCTTGAAAAAGATAGATATAATAATAAAATAATTCTAGGCCATATCGTCCACACATGGTCATGAAATGGGTATTAAATTGCATTCTGTGTGGTATTAAAAAGTCTTCAATTTAATTGACAGAAATAATGACTTGGATATTTTACAGGCAGAGTAGAAAGTCTGAAGAAATCTAACGTTATGAATGGGATGTTTGATATTTTGATAACATCGCTAAGTCTCTTGGGCAATTTCAGTTGTTATTGGATTTCACATCAAAAATAAGACCATACTTTCTGTAATAGGGGCCAAAACATAAGTCATTATAACTTAATTATGCAATTTGAGTCCAAATGTTAGCAGAATGAGTACAAGGACAAAAGCTCCTCTTGGCAGAAGGAAAATAATCAGGAAAAGTATTTATTAAAACTGTAAGATCAATTTCTTACAAACAGTGCTTCCCCAGCTGGTTGCCACAAAGATAGATATAACACCACCTTATAGAATATCATTTTATGACCCTAGCAGTCCATTCACACGTGACGACAATGGCACTGAACTGCCTATCAGCGTGTACATGCATCCATTTCACACATTATTTTCTCTCTCTCAGGGACGAGTTGAGGGAACATTTGAAGAATGCTCCCAAGATGATCATGACTCAGAAGCAGGAGGTGGAATCCTCTGACTCCTCGTCCTCTTCAGCCTCCTCTTCCTCATCTGACTCCTCGTCCTCTGACTCCTCAAGCGACTCAGACTCCTCTGACTCCTCCTCCAGCAGCAGCAGCAGCTCAGGTACATCCATATTTCTTTATTTATTTTAAGTACAGCAGAAATGAAATTGCATGTTTGGTTGTTGTTGTTTTTTTTCTGTTGCAGCACACATCTGCTTGGTAAATCATGTCCTGTGTTCTCCTTTGAGAAAACATCAGAAACCAAAAGCGAGAAATTGATATTTTACATTCTACGTAAAGGGAGTTGCAGTAGTCAAAGCGTGAGGTAAAAAACACGATATCTCAGGAATGCCTTGGGGGAATTTCTTCAGATTTGGCTTAAACGTCAACTTGGACTCAAGGATGAACTGATTAGATTTTGCCCATTATTCTACACCATAACTCAGAAACAGAAGGGGAGATTGTGATGTTTCGCAGTTCGTCAGACACCGAACAGGTGTCACTTTTGGGTTAAGGGTCATTGGGGCGGCAAAATAGGGTTGTCACCATAATTAAAGAATGAATTGGATGATTCCAGATTTCACGTTAACTTGTCCAGCCTTACTAAATTCTATAAATTTTTTTAATATTTACATAAAGCAGTAAAGTCACAGTTTTTTCATAGGTAGTCACACTAACAGCCACACAGCAGCCTGCTACACAACAACCCACATTAGCTTTAATGCTGAAGTCTCCTTCTTATCTAACGTACAAACATGAACACACATCTTTTCATATTTCTTATTACAATATTACATCAAAAAAGGGATGACTAAATGTTGTTTAAGTTGGACTTTAAATATGTCTCATGTGAAGGATGGGGACCTTATTGTCTCAGGGTTCTGGGCTATGAAGTCCTAAAAAGTTCCTTTTAGTTAGCTGCCTCTTTAAAAAGAAATTGACAGATGAATGAGTGAGTGATGGATGGATACATGAGTAATGATTTTTTTCCCCCCGTTGTCCACCAGACTCTGATGGCAAACACAGGAAGAAGAAGAAGACGAGAAAAGCACAAAGTGAGCAGAAGAAGAAAAAAGAGAAGGATGGTAAGAAGAAAAAGGACAAACACTCTGACAAGAAGCGAGCCGCACGCAAGAACGACGACGAGGATGACAGCAATGACGAGAAGCAGGCGAGGAAGGACAGGAAAAGCCGTGTACGTGAGCCGGATGAACATGAGCGTGCACGTGAGGTAGAGGTGCGCAGGCGTGCACGTGAGGCAGGGGAGCGCGGGCGTGCACGTGAGGAAGAGGAGCGCGGGCGTGCTCGTGAGGCAGGGGAGCGCGGGCGTGCTCGTGAGGAAGAGGAGCGCGGGCGTGCTCGTGAGGCAGAGGAGCGCGGGCGTGCTCGTGAAGGAGCCCGCCGGGGCAGACGAGACGAAAGAGCAGAAGAGGAGGAGGAGCAGGAAGAAGAGAGGAGACGAAAAATGGACCTTCTAGACAGACAAAGAGACGGAGAGAGGGATAGAGAGAGAGACAGGGGGAGGGACAGAGAGAGAGAGAGAGCGAGGGAGAGAGAGAATGAGGAGAAACGAGAGCGAGAGAGGGAGAAGCCGAGGGATAGAGAGAGGAATAAAGAGAACAGAGACAGGAACAGAGAAAAAGAAGAGAGGAGGAGGAGATAAAACTCTTCATCCCTCCATCCTGAAGCAGCGAGGATGACTGACAGACAAGTCTCCATCTTTTCCTTCTGTCATCCCTCTCTTCTTTACCTCAACCTTTCTCACTCTGGTGTTTAGGATTTGGGACCCTCTCTCTCTCCATCTGTATGTGTTTTCTATTATTGATTATTGTTGTTGATGAAATGCAAAAAAAACATTAAAGTTGCTATAGATGTTTTTTAATCTGGCTCTGTTTCAACTGTTTCCAGCTTCTGACAAATCGCACAATAATTGATTTAACTGTGCAGTGATAGGAAGCTGCTGTCCACACCACAAAAACAACAACGTCACACACTTGGAGGAATAGTTTGTCTCTGTGGTAATTTGCTTATTCACTTTCTTGCCGAGACTTAAATGAGAAGACTGATCTCATTTCTGTACGTAAAGTATGAAACCGGACCCAGTGGCTGGTTGGCTTACTTTAAGCTTAAAGACAGGCAACATGGGAAAGAGCTAGCCTGGCTACATCCACATGTTAAAAAATATACCTACCAGCATTTTCAAAACCTACAAACTAACATTTTACATCTCCTTGTTTATTCCGTACAGAAACAGAAGTGTAAAAACAACTGTGTGGTTTTATAGGGGGTTATGTGCTGGACTGTTTCTTGAATATTTCAAGGACATCGCTCCAGAAATGTGTCAGTATGATTTGGTCACATTTTATAAGCTCTTCAAAGATACACACTCAACTGTAGATTAAAATTGACTGTTTTTTATGTAATAAGAAAAAAATGCATTCAGTGATGGATGAATAACAACGATAACTAATCATGATCTCAATATAGAGCCTAACTGTTTTGCGTATGATGCAGCTGTACAGTCCTTGTTTGTATGAGATGTCTCAAACTGATTGCTGGACTCACATGAGGAGATCGAAACCACTCCTATCTGCCCAATAACTATGAAGCAGCAGCTCAGCATAAAGACTGGAAATAGGGAACAATTCGCCTGCCTCTGTCCAAAGTTAATAAAATCCACCTACCAGCACTTCTGAAGCTCACTAATAAACATGATATTTCTTGTTTAATTCGTACAAAAAAAAAAATGAGTTGTGGATTCACAGGAGGTTATGTGGTGGACTGTTTTCTTGACCAGGACCAGTAACTTCCTTTGAAGAGGCTAGCTGTTTCCCCCAGTCTTAGTGCTAAACTGTCTTTGGCTCCAGCTTCATATTTACCATACAAACACAAGAGTGGTCTCAATCTTCTGGTCTGAATCTCATCATGAAAGCATATTTCAAAAACTCCGTTAAAAGAAAAAATTGTTCTGATCCAGAGAGTGGCTGGAAATGCCCAAACACAAACAGGAACCCAGATGAATCCACAGAACCAAATGACTAACCAGCTCTGACAACACACACAGAATTAGCTGCTACAGTAAACACACTGAAACAAATATTACTTCAAAACATGGAACGACAGCAGGAGAGACCAACAGAACCAGCTGACCACAGGTGAAGACCAGCAGAACCTCTGGGTGCCGCAGGAATGTACAGGTGTGTTGTAGCTCAAACAGGATCATCAGTTTAAGATTTTAACACTTTAAAGTAAAAAATAGAGGTTGTTGAAAGCAGTGTTTATATTTACAGTAAACAGTCAGTCTCCAGTGGTGTCAGCTCAGAATATGCTGATGACTGCAGCTCATTCCTCCAACAGGAATAACAGCATTACAGTCTCTGAAGTCTGACCTTTCCTGTCGTACATCACCTGCCTGGTTTTATCCACACAGCCCTGATCTAGAGACGGTCTCTTGCCAGACACGATGTAGTGTCACCGCCACAGAAAGTTACACACTCAGCTGTTGCGGGCACTTCACATCAGGGAGGAGGAGCTTTATAAACCAATATACTGTGAGACACCATTGCCTTTCTCCACCATGAGCAGAGAAAAACTGTCGTCATGGATACAGTGCAATGTGCTTTTCCCCTGGAAATGTAAGCATGTGCTATAAAAAAAAAGATTACACATTTTTTTTAACCACTATTTAAACTTGTTTATAAGAGGTGAGCTTGGTAACGAGGGACTGGTGGAGGATTTTACTGTCGACTTCCACTCCCTGCTTGCTGATTTGGGACCACCCTCAACATCGCAAAACCTCCACATGAACCATGAGACAGAGCCGGCGTGGAGATGATGAAGGTGTTTTTTTTCCCCCTCCTTTGTTACTTCCCTCTCAAAGTCTCTTATTATTATGTTTTTCTTTTTCAGAATAGCCAGGACTATCTGATGAACATTTAGTTGAGTGAAATAATATTTACAGTGAAGACCTATGGATGGATAATGTAAAAAATGTAGAATTTAGATTTGTCCACAAAAAAGTCTGCAAAATAAATTTTACAAAATTGATAAAGCGCAACAATAAATATTCACAAAAAGTAAATTTCACTCAGGTTTGAAGACGTTTCACCTCTCATCCAAGAAGCTTCTTCAGTTCCAACAGACTGACAGGGAGTCCCTGCTATTTATCCTCTGTGGGGTCGTTATCAAGGTGATGGATACCACTTGGTTCGTTATCTGAACGACCGTCAGTGTTCAATCTCCTGGGAAAAAGATGAAATGATGGCATCATAGCTGGGGGATAAGTGGTGTCGCAGACCACCTCCCCAGTTGAGAGATGATTCTGGTGTAAATTACCTTTTCCACTCCTGTTTCAATCCAGCCAGGAGCACTAACAAACCAAGAGGTATCCATCACCTTGATAATGACCTCATAGAGGTTAAATAGCTGGGACCCCCCTGCAGGTCTGAAGGAGCCTCTTGGATAAGAGGTCGAAACGTCTAAGAGCATCTTCTACCAATTCCACTTGCCCTTGATTTTAACCTTAGATGGTTTTACTGGCGTGTCCTCCAGCTCTGTCTCTCACATGCTCTGCTGTATCCTTGGAAAACCTTATGTTATGTTCAAGGTGAGAGGGGGGTGTGTCTGTGTGTATTTGTGCGTCTGTGTGTAAGTGGGTCGTTGCAGTGCTGGAGTGTGATTGGCTGGATTACCTGAAGAATAGAGGAACCAGACTGGTTTGCTGTGGCAGCAAATAGAGGAACAGATCCACTGGGACCTGGGAGCTGCAAGGAACTCTGGGAAAACCACAGCAAGTCCCTCTGCTGAGTGAGAGAGGTAGGGCGGGGTGAGAAATTAAGGAATGAAAAGTGGAAAAAGGATAAAGTAAGAGAGCTGTGGACAATCACTGAGAAGATGAGAAAAGTACCCCTCTTTCTCCTTCTTTCAGATCTCAAAGTTTCCAAAGATGTCGGTCTGAATTTTGGGCGACTGTTTACAAAATGATACAAGATGTCTGGAATATTTTCATTTGAGTCTTGGTTTTGAATATTTTACTCAGTGTAAACATCACATAGCTTCAATGAAGAGCTGCAACAAGATAACGCATAAGTTAATACTGTATATGTAGCCTATGGCAAGAAATGATCTTAAACAATACGTCCTCACACCTAAACAGAATAGGTCAATTGCCAATGAGGTACATAAATGACATATACGTGGCATAAGTAACATTATGTAACTTACACTTTAAGTCAACATTGACTTTTGGTTTCACTTGGGACGGTCCTGTGTTTGTTTGACCCAACCACCTACCTAAGTGACTTTCTCACACTTTATACGACTCCTATCATACTTATTACAGCCGCTAGAAGTCGCCATCTAACGATAAACGTAAATATGGGTCGAACCATTATTTATCTTGTGAGAACGGGCTGATTTTAAACCTACATTTTGTGCCGGGCAGGTAGTGTACAGTGGGTTTCTAGGGCTTTTTCCTGAAGAAAACTCTGTCAGAGCAGTAAGAGAGAACTGAAACATTATGCTGAAAAATGCTAAAATGCTCCATATAGCTGAGGGGAACTGCATAGTCTGATAATTTTCTGTGCATTTGCATGAACAACACCGCTCACATACAACACGGTCTCCTTAATGTGAAGAATTCTCTACATGTGATCATTGGTAAATGATAAACGATATATAGATATACTTTATATATAAGAAAGCTAAAGAGTAACTCAACACCCCCTGAAAATGTTGTTTTTGCTGGCTTCCAGTAGTTTAACTTCTCACCTTGCTGCAGTGGTGCACAGGTGTTCTCCAGGACCCTGTGACATCACTTTTGGGTGCGGTTACAGGTGCAACAAAGCACACTTCAGACCACACCCAGAAGTGAAACAGCTTGGAAATGTCCGGCCATTGGTGTTAAGTTACTCTTCTCTCCACAGACTTTAAACGCTGGTGATTTTCATATATTTCTGTCATCATCAACAAATCCTTAGAAAAAACCAGAGCGAGTTTTTTGAGAATGTGTGAGTCCTCAAAACTTACTGACTTCCCTACCCTGAATGTGGCTCTCAGCCTCAAGCCCATTGGTTCCTCTTTGAAGATGTAACTCTTAATTTCTAAAATAGGCACAGTAAAAGTAAAGTACTGTATTTGCAGCAAACATTACTTATACAGGAGCAAATACTGTAATGTTGGGGACTCTTTAGTGGCAGACTAATACAGATTTGGTGCTCTAGTGTGTATTTCTATCAACAAACATGTCACCCAGTGCAACAGTGTGGCTCACAACAATGGAGCTCTGTGGCACAGAGGCAAGATATATTATGCTCTGGGCACACACAACACTTATTAGTACATTTGTTGATAACTCATTGTTGGTTTTGGTCTGTTGTTGACAGAAAGACAAAAATGGAATATCACCAGGCTTATCCTTTAAGGAGAAAGCGTAGCTCAGGTCAAGGAGTTTCCCATCATGCTTTGGGTTGTTTGGGAAGTTGAAAACATTTCTTGGCTTCAGAGAGAGAGGCAGACAGGCAGAAGTGTCTCTCTCAGAGCAGTAGTGTGGAATGTCTCAGCTCGCTGGCATCATGTTACCTGTCTGTCTGCCTGCCTGGTCCTGAAGAATCTGTGCTTTAAGTGACAATCCCCACGGAGGTGTTCTGATACACAAGGGCATAATTTCCACTAGGGATGGAGGATGATTTACTCACTAAAAGTCATCGAAACAAAATCGTCATACTCTCAAGCTGCCATAGTCCAGGGGAGAGTATGAAGGAAATATTGAAATAGCCATCTGGTTGTTTTCAGGTACGATAGATTATTAACGGTTATTAACATTTTGTAAGGCGACTTATTTGCCACTGCATTCGCTAAATAGACGCTGTTTTGCCCTTGCATTGATGTAGGTTATACCTGCAGCCTGAGTAGAAGACCTGCAGACACTATTTAGGGCTGTCAAAAAAACACTTCAGACTCCTCTATAAGTTTTGCCAGTAGACATAATGATTTAATGTATGTTATTAAATATTTAGTATTCTCCCAAAAAGATTCTATCCATGAAAGATAAGACGGTGGCATAGGGAAATACTTAAGATTTGAAAAAGGGTTTTCAGGAGCTTGGGGTTGGCAATTTAATTCAGAAGCATTCTCTGTTATATTTGCAGAAATTCTCTTTACATTCTGATCAATAAATAAAATGCTCTGACACAAAAATGATTTAAAAAATCAGTTATCTGAGGCTGTTGCAGGACTGTAATGTAGTCAACATCTAGCTGTCACTTGCTAGTTTCTCCAAAGTTCCCACCCTATAGCTTTAAGTTTCAGCTCTTTAGGAAACTGTGAAATGGTCCTTTAACCAGACAGCTCCTGACTTCATGAACAGGTGAGTTGACAGTAAACACAGATAGAGAGAAGAGGACAATGTGTGTTGCAGCCAGTATTTACAGCTTTAAAATGGATTGTATCAGCTTTTTTGCAAACAACAAAACCTGGACTCAAGTCAGACACCCTGTTTACACACACACACACACACACACACACACGCACGCACGCACGCACGCACGCACACACAGGTAACAATATGGTTTCAGGTCTTTTCCTTAAAAATCCATCCAATTTTTTTATTGGATGGAATTTAAGCTCTCTCTCTCTCTCTCTCTCTCTCTCTCTCTCTCTCTCTCTCTCTCTCTCTCTCTCTCTCTTTCTGTGTTTCTATGTTGGTGTGTGGAGCATGCGCAGTCCAACAGCTCTGCTCTCTGTGCGGCGCAGAGCGCGCGCCTCTCCGCTGCTCCAACTGAGTTGATCAGTGTCCGGAATGGATACCTGATGGGTGGACGATCGATGACTGATCAGTCAAAACCCCGAGCTAGACTCACAGCCAGGAGACACAGACCCGTTCAGTGTTGATTACTGATTAATAATCGGCAGCTGGTAGTGTGTGTGTGAGCTGAGTTCAGCGCTTCAAACCCAAAGGACTCTACTTTCTTCATCCATCCATCACCTCCTCCTCCTTCGGTAAGTCACCTCCCTCCCCCTCTTCTTCTGTTTTCTCTTCATTTTCTGTCTCTTTCCCTCCTCCTCCTCCTCTTCTTCTCTCTTTTTTCTTTTCTTTTGGTACGGACCGAACAGCATGAGCTGAGGCTTTAAACCACCAGAGACCGTCTGTCCGTCGTTGTTTGTCCGGATCACTTTCAGGCTGCTTCTGTCAGAAAAAAAAAAAAATTAAATGTTCGTTTGTCTTTATGATCATTTTATAAGCTCCATCTGTCTGTATTTTGTGTCTCAGTTCAGAAATGCATTTCTACAGTAGGCCTACAGTTTTCAGACACATGTATATTTATTTAACTGTTTGTTGTAGAGCTACCATTGGTGGACGAGGTACCCAGATCTTTAATTTATGTAAAAGTAGTACAAAATAGCCTACTCCAATGAAATGTAGAATATTAATTAACCAGTAACTACAGCTGTCACGTGAATGTGATTGGGTATAAAGTACAAAATGTTCTTCTTAAATGTAGTAAAGTATAAAGTAAAATGGAAATAATCAAGTAAATGACCTTGTGCTTAAACTGTGGGGAAGAAGTTGTATTCAGATCTGCTACTTAAATACAAATAGCAACAAAAATACTAGTAGGTCCACATTAATATTCTTTTGCATATGTCAAAGTAGCCAGTAAAATGTACTTAAAGTATCAAAAGTACTCCTTCTGCACTAAAATGTGTTATATTATAGTATGCAATGTAATATTATTGGATAATTAATACTTGTGCAATGTGTGAGTAGCATTTCACCAATGGAGTCCGCAGAAGTGAGCTAACTACTTTATATACTTTTGTGTGATTAAATGTATAATAAGCTTATTACATTTTTTGTATGTTAAATTTTAGTAACTTGGAGTAAAAAGTACTTCTATTGTATATTTCCCTTTACACTGACAGTTACTGACTTAAGCAGAGTGATGAAATATAACTGAATAGCAAATATTGTTTTATTAATATTGTTTACATTTACTATAGTTACTTTGCAGATTAAGATTTTATTTAAAAAAATCAATGATTTGATGATTAATGCATTTATAAATTATATGTGGTTATAGAACTATTCAATAGTATATTAAATTCTTAAAATTAGCTCCTCTTTGAACAGCTAAACATTAAAAAAAAGTATTTAAACATTAATACATAAGTGATAATAATCCAATATTATAAAAGATAATAATATGACACTGTTCAAAGGTAACAAATCTGCCTATCAGCACATCTAAAGCTCACTAATTAACACTGTCTTCTTTGTTTAATCCGTTGTGGTTTAATAAGAGGGTCAGGCTAGCTGTTTCCCACCTGCTTCGTATTTGTCATACAGTTACGACCATTGAATCAATCTTCTCATCTAACTCTCTGCGGTTGAGGTGATTGGGTGACTTGGACTCATGACCTCAGTATATTTAAAATCCCGCCTACAGTCCTGCAGCCAAATGGTTACAGTTAGACCCACCATGACCAGCTGGAACAGTCAAATGCTGCTTGTATCAGTCATAATAATCCAGTTTTATAATATATAATAAATAATATAACACTTGGGACATGCCCATTCTGCATATTGAGTACTTTTACTTTTAATACTTAAGTACATTTTGCTGTTAATACTTACATATGCTTACTTGGTGGTATATTCCTGCTTTTACTTAAGTAAATTATTGTATTGATGCTTCCACCACTGCTTCTGTCTATAGTTTACCATTATAATTTAGTCTTTCAGTCTCTCAGTTAGTTTAATTTTTTCTTTTACTTTCTAAATGTAAAGTTGATACAAGTTGTCATTAATGAAATAATCAATTAAAGACAAAGCATATGGTCTAGACATGCTCTAAATGAAAAGTGCAAAGACATATGTTATGAATCAGTGCTATATAAATGCAACTGAATTGAAGGGAACTGACATAAATGAATCTGCAACTATTTTAAAAATTGCTTACGATTTTTTTTTCTTAAAACAGTTTTCCTCCAGCAGACTAACACACTGTAGTAATCGCACTATATAAAATATAAATATATAATATGTGGTAATCACACTATGATTGCATATAAAATATTTAATAAAACTATATATATATATATAGATTTATATATAGATATATGGTTTTAAAATCAGCGCTAAAGGAGAGAACAGACAGACAGATAGACAGACAGCATAATCTTGTGTGTGTTTTGAACATACTTCATTCATTCGTCAGATAATCAGATAAGCCCACACACACACACTCCCACACACACTCCCACAGTCCGGATTTGTCCTGTCTCTCTCTCTCTGTCACCGAGATGTTGTTCATTTTCACATAGGTGAAAGAATGTCTGTCTGTGTGTGTGTGTGTGTGTGTATTGATCAGTCTGATAATGACACCTGATCAGCTGGACTGTAGCGCCCCCTGCAGCTGGACTAGAAATAACTGATTTTCTCCCTAAAATACCTCCTATGCCTTTCTTATTTTACCTTCTCCTTTGCTTCCCTTCTTCCCTCCTCTCCTCTCATATTGCCTCTCTTCCTTTTTATTCCTTACCTCCTTCCTTCCTTCCTTCCTTCCCCACCTCTACTTTTCCTCCTTCACCTCCTTCTGTTCTTCTCCACCAACATTTTTCCTACTTTCCTTTATGACCTGGAAAGTGATTTTACTGCAGCCGTCTCTCCAGCCGTCCCAAATGAAATGAGCAAGACCTCTATCCTTTTGTCCTGTCTGTCCTTCCTTCCTTCCTTCTTAGCAGCTTTTCTAAGTATGTCCTTCTGTTCTGTTCTGCCTGCACGTCAATCTTTGTTTGGATGTTTGGAACTTCAGTCTGTGTGTCTCTAATTAACACTAATCAACTTAATTAAAGCAGAAGTCTTCTGTTTAAGATAGAAGAGGGAAGATGACAGTCTGACGAGGTGCAGAAAACACCTTTACCCTGAGCTCAACTTCAATAAGAAGACAGAGACTGTGCTAACTAGTTGCCAGACCTTAACAATCAGTGGTTAGACGGCATTAACCAGACCATATTAATCAGCTGGTAGACTGTATTAAAGGATAATTTTGGTATTTTTAAACCTGGGCCCTATTTTAATATCACCGTTGTCTTCCTGCAACAACTCAAAACTTGTGAGATTTCAGAGCGAGAATTGTCCTTGAGACTTCTGTTTCTTTTTGAAAATGAGGGCTGTCATTGGGAGTCACTCGTAGGAATCCTTACCATGATGGTGTCAGACACCTTGTATAACAGTCTGTATAACCGTCGCCAGTCCATGGCTGCCTGCTGAAGCCATCTACTGCACAGATTCCAAAACGTTTTGTACATACTATTTATTTCTACACCAAAAAAGGTGGGAATAGGTTTAGAAATTAAGAAATTATCCTTTGACTAGTTGCTAGACCACCCTAAACAGCTGTTAGACTGTACTAACGCGCTGTTAGAGTGAACTAACCTGCTCTTAGACTGTACTAACAAGTTGTTAGGCTATACAAACTGGCTTTTAGACTGTACTAACCTGCTCTTAGGCTGTACTAACAAGTTGTTAGGCTATACAAACTGGCTTTTAGACTGTACTAACCTACTACTAGACTGTACTAACCTGCTGTTAGACTGTACTAATTAGTTGTTCGGTTAAACAAACTGGCTATTAGACTGTACTAACCTGCTATTAGACTGTACTAACCTGCTATTAGACTGTACTAACCTGCTGTTAGACTGTACTAACCTGCTGTTAGACTGTACTAACCTGCTATTAGACTGTAGGCCTACTAACCTGCTGTTAGACTGTACTAACCTGCTGTTAGACTGTACTAACCTGCTGTTAGACTGTAGGCCTACTAACCTGCTGTTAGACTGTAGGCCTACTAACCTGCTGTTAGACTGTACTAACCTGCTTTTAGACTGTACTAACCTGCTGTTAGACTGTACTAACCTGCTATTAGACTACTAACCTGCTGTTAGACTGTACTAACCTGCTATTAGACTGTACTAACCTGCTATTAGACTGTACTAACCTGCTGTTAGACTGTACTAACCTGCTATTAGACTGTACTAATTAGTTGTTAGGCTATACAAACTGGCTTTTAGACTGTACTAACCTGCTGTTAGACTGTACTAACCTGCTATTAGACTGTACTAATTAGTTGTTAGGCTATACAAACTGGCTATTAGACTGTACTAACCTGCTGTTAGACTGTACTAACCTGCTGTTAGACTGTACTAATTAGTTGTTCGGTTAAACAAACTGGCTATTAGACTGTACTAACCTACTATTAGATTGTACTAACCTGCTATTAGACTGTACTAACCTGCTATTAGACTGTACTAACCTGCTGTTAGACTGTACTAACCTGCTATTAGACTGTAGGCCTACTAACCTGCTGTTAGACTGTACTAACCTGCTGTTAGACTGTACTAACCTGCTGTTAGACTGTAGGCCTACTAACCTGCTATTAGACTACTAACCTGCTATTAGACTGTACTAACCTGCTATTAGACTACTAACCTGCTGTTAGACTGTACTAATCTGCTATTAGACTGTACTAACCTGCTGTTAGACTGTACTAACCTGCTATTAGACTACTAACCTGCTATTAGACTGTACTAACCTGCTATTAGACTACTAACCTGCTATTAGACTGTACTAATCTGCTATTAGACTGTACTAACCTGCTGTTAGACCGTACTAACCTACTGTTAGACTGTACTAACCTGCTGTTAGACTTTACTAACCTACTTTTAGACTGTACTAACCTGCTATTAGACTGTACTAACCTGCTGTAAGACTGTAGTAACTAATTTTTAGGCCATACAAACTGACAGTTAAACTGTACTAACCTCCTGTTAGACTGTACTAACCTGCCGTTGGCTAAAGTGTTGTTAGGATGCACTAAGGAACTGTTAGACTGCACTTAAAGTGTGTTTGTAGTCCTCGCTAACAGGCTCTTATTTTGCATTGTCCAATTGTACAGTAAAGGTAGATTAATCCTACTGTAACACTCACTCTCTTGTTC